TACTAGTTTTATATATATATATATACACATATATACATATATATGTATATTCCATTTTCAATACTTTCTTTTGTGTATATGTGCATATTTCTGTGTGTGCACTAAGTATGCCAGTTGTGTGCATGTTATGCAAGTGTGCATTCATGTGTGCGTGTGCACTCTTTTGCACGTGCACATGTGCACACCATAGGTGGATATCAGGTGTCTTCTTCAATCACTCTACTTTATTTTTGAGGCAGGTCTCTCTCTCATTGACCCTGAACCTCATGGATTCAGCTAGACCAGACAGCCAGCCCCGGAGATCATCCTGTCTTTGCTTCTCCGGCACTGAGATTTTTATGTGCCGACTCAGTTGTGTGGCAAGTGCTTTTCTAACCGTGTCTACCCCAGTGTTTTCTGTCTTTAACACTGAATTGTAAGCTGAGGATGGTGGGCATCCCTGTAGTTCTCATGTTCAGGAAGTTGAGACAGATGGGCTGTTGAGAATCTGATACCAGCATGAGCTACATAAATAAAAACCCGTCTCAAAATAAAACACTGTATTCTTATGGTCTTGAATAGAAGAACCATCACATAGAAGGCACTCAGTAAATACTGTTGGTTGAAAGAATGAACCACCTTCTGAGGGTAAAAGGGTGGAGGTAATTCCTCAGTGAATATAGGAAACATAGTAGAAGGACATACTCCTTTAGTCTATTTCATCTACGTAAGTGCCCTAGAAATTTTCAAAAGGATCTGATACATGAGCTGAGAAAAATTATCATGGGAATAAAAGCCAAGTATTAAGATATGCAGGCCAGAGTGCTTAGCATAAACGAAGCCCTAAACTCAAAACCCATACCCAAATAAATGGATAAATAAACAGTACTGAAATACAAGAAATCACCGAATTAAGAGTATTACATAAGTCAGAAATTATGAATGAGAAGGAATGTCTTATATTAATCATTTGATCCTTCCAGACATTTGGTTTATGGGCCAATGGTTCCACATAAATGGATATGTCCTCCAAAATGTGGGTTGCCAGTACTGATGGAAAGTTGAGTTGAACTTTCCAATATATAAATCACAAAACAAGATGGGGCTGATTTGTTGCAAAAAGCGCAGGAAGCCATTTATAAAAATGCACACATGTGCACACACACGGATCCCAAACAGACAAGACTTAGTGTGTGGTGTCAGGACTCCGGGTTGCGGCTATTCTTAGGAGGAGGTGGGTCTCGACTGCAGGGGATGGGTTCTCCGTGCTTGTCATTTCTTGTTTCTAGGCCTAGGTTCTGTTTTTCTGGGAGTAGTCACGGTGAAAATTTATTAAGCCAAATACTGTATTTTTCTCAATAAGGTTTTTACTTAAAGCATAGTCAATGTTGGTTGTACACTTCAATCCACAGACTTCTCACCAGAAATCCAGGGGACCAAGAATTCAAGGTCATGGAGTTGTCAGGCCAACCTGGCCCAAATAAGACCATTTCTCAAAATAAAAACAAAACAAAATAAAAAAATCTAAATATTCCCAGGACATTCAGCATTTTTGGGGGGTGGCAGGATAGGAGGATGGCTTTTAAAATTAAGTGATTCTAAAATAACCAACTGTCACCACCAACAGCATGGGGTGGCATCCCTCTCTCCCAGCTGAGACAGACTGGCTCCGCTCTCATCTCACCTACACAAATCCCCACCAGCAGAAGCAGCTCATTTTTACTTTACCAGTAGATGAAGACAGAGATGGTGCCGGGGAAGGTCAATGAGCGCAGAAAAGCCTCACAGGCAATAGCGGGGAGAGAGACAGTGCAAAACTAACTTTAAATCCAAGGAGTGTCACCCGGTATCCTGACACGTGTGCAATATAATTAAAATGGTGTGTTAGAACATTTCCTATTTAGGACTTTTCTTCCAAACTGATACTTCCTAAAAATACCCATAAAGGAGAGGAAGAAATTGAAAGTCTATAAGGACAACAGTGTGTGTGTGTGTGTGTGTGTGTGTGTGTGTGTGGTGGGGATCAGGTGAATACTGAGCGGCTGGCTCCCCAGCCAGCAATTTACAAGAGGACTGGCTGAGGCCAGTAAAGGAGTGAATCGAACCCTTCCCCTATCCCAGTGACCATCCCTCTGCTTTTTCATCAAACTAGCTAGCTGCCTGTGAGCACAAAACAACCCACCAAGAGCTCCACACATTGCCGCTAGAGCCAGCTACACAGGTATTTAGATTGGATGCAGACTCCAGCTGTACAGCTTTCTGATTCCCCCCAAAGCTGAATAAATCTTCCCCGCCCAGGAGAAAGCAGTTCCTTGCCCTTGCACACTTTCCTCCTCAGTTTAGCCCTTCTTGACTCAGACAAAGGTGCCACATTGGCCTGAACTCCTGTGGCAGACATCTGAGCTTGCTGGTTCCCAGCTCCATTTCTCTCCTATGGGAACATTTCTCTTGTTTGCTTAGCATCCTGGATCTGGTTCTCAGCCACTTATGTCCAGTCTGAACATTTGGCTTCACTGCTTCCCGAGTCTGACGGTAATCTTTGGCATGTTTGCCTGATGCCTGAATGCTTACCCACAGCTTGAAGAAAGAGAGAAACAGTCCCTGTGCAAGTGACATAGGGCTTGTTGGAATTCTTCTACTTTGAGATTCCTCCAGACTGTCTTGTAAAACCTGAAAGAGCCCCTTTGAAATCCCTGACACAAAACGAGTGTCACCACACTGGACAGAATAGCAGCCTATTAAAACCAATGGTCTCCATTTGGTTGCATGTTTCCTTATGTCTGACTCTGCAAGGGCTCTAAAGTAATAGTGTCCCGTGTTTGGATTCCTGAACACTCACAATTTTGCTTTGAAAAGCCTCAACCTGAAGAAGGCTGAAACCAAATACTTGTACCTATAATTTACTTCTGAGTTAAGAGTCGGCCCCTTTTCTTCATCTGCCTGACTGGATCCTGGAGGGACCAAATCAAAAGGCTATAATGACCCCCATTTCCAGGTAATTGCCTTTGCATGGGCTGTCCTGCTACAGACTGTGCCCAAAGCAAAGCCACCAGCGCTAGAGTCCCCATAATGGGATGGATACCCGTGTCTTCAGAGGAGGACACGCAGACGCACTCTGTGCCTTCAGTGTGGGGCTCACTCTTTCCCTTCATTTTCACAGAGCGGTTGGAGGCTGGCTGGATCTCTGATGTCAGGTTTCCAGGTGCGGGTGGCTCCCTGCCTGCCTGGCTTTGCTCTCCTCATGGTCCGTGTTGCTGGCTGACCCTTCCATAAGGGACCTTCTTCTCCTTTCCCCGTGTATCCCAACAGGGCTCTGCCTTCTGCTACCGGGCAGGGTTCGGTCCTCCAGCCTTCTCTTTCCTGGTGCTGTTTTGGCTACCTGCCTATGAGGTGTGCTCCGTGGCCAGCTGCCTTCACAATGATTTAAGTGCTTACACATTTGGGGGAAGTTTGTGCCCAAATAACAGCAGAAAGTGTGGTTTTGGAATTCCAGTAAGCAGAATGCACCAGGGCAAAACCATCTACATACCAAACCTGGGAGGAAGTTTTCTATAGGAGAACCAAAGAAGCAAAACTGAATTAAATACTGAGGAAGGTTGCGAGGGCTTGACAAGGAAAAGGAAATAAGTATGCCACCTATAAGCTATGTAACTACAGCATAGATACAATATTAATTAAAACACTCACTGAGAGAAAGAATTCTTCTGGATGCGCTCACCTCTCACTATACAGGGCCTGTCCCAGGATTCATCAGTAACCGATCTCTATAGTCAATGAGGACAGTTCCAGGTGAAAAGAAGGGCTCTGAAATGAAGATGGAGTTTTCACATCCATGGTCCTTCATACAGATTACAAGCATCTCTGGAGGCCTGCAGAGATTCTTCGGAATCATTCTGTGCGCTGGGTCAAATGCAAGGCACCCGAAGTGCAGTGGGTGGCTCGGTTTTGTTTTCCTTTAAAACCTATTTTCCACTAAAGAATCAAATTTAAAAGTCCCCCACCCACCCAAAAGGAAAAACCATTCTTGAAGAAAGCCAAGAATAATCAGAAGGGATTAGACAAAACACCTCAACAGTCTTTGTTCCTTGGTGTGTACAACTGGTCAACAGGCAAGACTCTGGCTTTCTCGCAGTCTGAGGACGAGAATTTTGAAACTCACCAGTTCAGATGAGGAAATAGAAAATCCCATATCTTGAGGACTGGAAGAAAGTTCCTTTCTTCGCCGAGCTTCCTGTTCCCAGCCCAGTGCCACTGATCCCTGGTCCTGCCTCAGCTTGCAGTCAGGAGCTGCCACTGGCAAGACCCTCCCTGCCATCAGCACCCACAGCTAAGTGGCCTTTCCTCAGGTTCCTCTTCCAGGGAGCAGGAGCTCAGGTGTGGGCTGAAGGGCAGTCAAGTGAGCTGCAGCCTAGGAAGATCTGTTTTTCCTCATCCTAGCCCCACAGCAAGTTAACCCCAGGAGAGCTGGGCTGCAGGAGAAGGGTTTTTGTGAGCTGTCTAATGTCCGTATGTTCCCTACCGGGGACGATAAAACTGCCAGGCACTCATGCTCAGATGTCACTACAAAGTTTCATTGATAGTCTCTCCAGTTCTAATAAAGTAACATGTACATTTTACTGTTTGACCTATTTGTGCAACAGTAGTTTTCTAGAAGATTTCAAAATAGACGGGCTTACTATAGCACAGGTAAATGGTTCTGGAAGCTATAGATTACAGTGGACTTGCTGGTTGCTGATTGGATTTACTGAAATGTCTGCAATACAGTCCACACACCTGGTAATTCTGCTGAATGTTTAGAATGCTAATTTCGAATTCAGATGCTTGTCTGTGTCACCCAGACACTGTACGTGTCTTGTTCATTTATTCGGTGCAGACCTGCCCAGGAAAGAAGGAACCAGCGTTCTTCATTATTTGATAACATGAAAACAATTGTTCACTCTTTGAGTATGATTAGGGAGGAAAAGAAGAAGGAAACAAGGTACAAAATCAAACTCAACATCTGGATGGAATTTAGCACATACCTTCTGGGACCCCAGGCTCCTGAATGTTTCAGCTAAGGACTCCCTCTTCCGAGGCTGCAGAGGCTCAAGGACGCAGCCTGGCTGGAAATGGTACTTTGATGCCAGTTCCTGAAAGTTGGTTTAAATAGGTTGTCGGGATGCCGTAGCCCCGACCAAAGCCTGCTAAGTGGGAGGGGAGCAAATGGCGTGCAGGCATGCTTACTTGCGACTGGGTGGACACCTAGTAAAGAGGTGATTTGTCATTTGTGTCTCCAGACCTGGAAGTGCTCTGTGTTGTACGAAGGCTTCGCCTCATGCAGGTAAAGTCTGACTATGCTCATGACTTTGGGAGATCATCCTTGGTTCCTGTTCTGGCTCGTGTTTTTGGACACCCAGGGCACAGTAGAAAGAGAATCAGAGTCAAAGGGTTGGTTTCAGAAATAACTGCCCCTCGTAGACTCTGTGATCTTGAGCTGAGTTATCTGTCCTCTCGGACCCTCAGCGTTTTGGGCAAATAAAGTGCCCTCAGCAGAGCTGCTGCAGAGTGAATGGAGCTAGTGGCATCTGGTGTGGCCTGAGACACATGGACAGCATCTGAACCTGGGGGAGCCCAGTGAGGCAAAGGAGGACTGTGGCTGGGCAGAAGCTTGAGCTGGGCGTTGTGGTGCATGCCTGCAATCCTACCACTGGGGAGGTGGAGAAAGGTGGGTCAGGTCATCCTAAGGTACACAGCTGGTTTGACGCCAGCCTGGGCTACATGAGGTCCCATCTTAAAAACAAAGCAACTAACTAAAACAGGAGAAAAACAAAAACAGAAGAGGAGGATTCAAAAATTCCAGAGCATTCAAAGATTCCCCAGGTTATTATATTGTGTGTCCGGGGAAATGGTTTGACGCTTCCCAGGTCCTTACTGGCATTTTCTGGGAAATGCTTGCTGTGAGGTAGGGTGACAGGAAATGCACTACTCAGCAAACTATGAACTCCAGAACTCTGTCAGGAAAATATTCAAATCCTGTGGAATGGCAACATATGCCAAGAAAGGAAAAATAAACTACTCAAAAAAAAAAAAAAAAAAAAAAAAAAAAAAAAAAGATCAATTCTGCACCAATCCCTCCTGCAAGGATCTCATCTCTCCTTTGCCTATGGTGTAAGTTTATTTTCTTTACTGCCAGGCATGGTGGTACATGCCTTTAAGCCCAGAACTCAGACAGCATGAGTTGCATGGCAGCTGGGACTATGCGGAGAGACCCTGTCTAAAAAATAATTCAAATTAAAATAAAAAACAAAATACCCACACACACTTGTGCTGCTTTGGTGAGAAAAACGAGGTTCATTGAGTTGAAGTGGTTTGGAAGATCATTCCATATTTAATCCATTTCTGTCCAAACAGTGCAATCCTTCCCTGAAACTCCTCCCCTTCCCACAGATCCCTTCCTAACTATCTGAGCCCACACTGATCTCTTCTTTTGGGGTTCGCTAAGTTCTTATTACTGGCATACCACTTTCATTCTATAAGTCTTTGCAGTGTTTTATCAGACTTATTTATTAATAAACATTTACTGAACTTCCTCTGCAATGGGGAGACAAAGATGAGTAAGACAGCTTGACCATCACAGCTAAAACCCAAGGGTGGAAATAATTCCTCATTAGTTTATACAGACCTGTTCCATTCAAGATCAAGTCACTTTCCCTCAGTTTGAAACACTTCCATTTCAGCTCTTATGGAAGGAAAAAAAATCACACAAAGGCATTTTATCAGCAACTATTCCATAATATCCAATGATGAAACACAGAGGAGACAGCTGACAGATGCCTTGCAACGTAAATTCTCCTGTGCCCTTCTTCCCATGAAGAGGAGGTTTGAGCCGGGGTCCTAACCCTGTGGCAGTACCGAATATGTGCCGGCATACCATTGTCCTAATCAGTCCCATGGGTGGAGGGGTATCATTTTCTGCTAACTAGGCATGGCTCTAGGAATAAGACTATTATATTTAGCCTAGTTATAATCACTTATCCAATAGCACATTCCCACCTGAAGATAGTGATAACTTTGTAACATATAATGAAAGTCCACAGAGAAGAGTTAGGTGAGCAAAGCCTGGTGCATGCTCTGGGATAACAGGTTAATTCAGTGTAATAAGCAACTTCATTTGCAAACCTATAGAGTACACATTTAAGAGAATACATATTGATAAAAACAAGATCCTTACTGAAAAAGTTAAAGCTTATAAATTATTATATCTACTATGGACCAAGAAATACCATGTTTTTGTGATGAGTCCTTAAGCTCTTGAGAGCCAGATAAAAAGCCATATGTATGATCTGGCATATTTCACTCCATAAGGTTAAATTCATCACACTGAGGATGTAGCTCAGTGGTAGAGGGGTTGCCTAGTAAGTCAGAGGCCCTGGGTTTAATCCCTAGAATCATCTAGAAAAAAGTATTCCACATTCCACACGTTTGCCAGCTTAAACTAGCTTGGTATATGTTCAAGGGATGGAAAGGAGGCCATAGGGACAAAGCATTAACTTCATTAGCAAGCTGGGCACACAAGTCAGTGTGGGGCACTTGCTCTGCACATACAAGGCTCCAGTTCAATCACCAGCATCAGAAAAATGAAGAAAAATCACAATCTCTGAGGTTCTGGGTTGAGCTATGTTAGAGAACTCATTTCATTCTTAATGTTGTATCGTGAGACACGAGGAAGAAAGTCATCCGTTGCCTTGGCTTCCTATGGCATTCACCCTTTCTAAATCTGCCCTTGAGTAATATTTCCCCGAGCTAAAGCCTCCTCCAGCTTGTAAAGCATAAGGAGAGAAAAGCAGGTGAATACATTCCCTCTAGAGTGTTGGAGATAGACTTGAAGGAACTCTATTTAACAGAGCATCTGTCTGCATGTGATTTTATATCTCATTTAAAATTCACTTTTGTATTGTAAAACAGCTATCACTTTCCCCACTTCACAGATGAGCAAAGGGAAGCCCAAGAAAGTTAATTAACTTTGCCGAACTGCTCCAAAGACAGGATGTTCCCACACAAGCAGGCTGGGCTTAACAGAGATCCACGTACTGCCTGAAGTCCATCAAATGCCTCTGGTCTCCACAATTTGTGATTTGCACCTTAATTTGAGGCAGCTTCCTAATCAGAAGTGTGACAACTAAGCTATCATAAGCAAAAGAACTCACATCAGGACAGTTGTGGTTGCATATACTTGTAATGATAGCACCTAGGAGGTAGAGATAGGAGGATTGCCACAAGTTTGAGGTCAGCCTGGTCTACATAGTGACGTCAAAAGACAAAGCAAAACAATAACAACAAAATTCCCACAAAGCAAACCCCAAAACAACTAAAAAGAGGATTTACACCAAAGAAACTTGTGCAGAGTTTAAACTACCCCCCAAATCCACCCAGAAGCCCCAGTGGAGCAGTCCCATAGCTAGAGGTCATTAGCAGCTGTGGTCACAAAGAAGAGACTAAACAAAACAAACCAAAACAAATGAGAGGGGGACTTTGGGAAATGACTCTGAGTAAAGGCATTTGCTGCCAGGTTGGTGGATCCAGTTCATTTCCCAGACCTGCAAGATATAAGATGAGAACCATTTCCCACAAGTTGCCTTCTGACCTATATGCAGACTGTAGCAAGGCATGCCCCACCCTCTATCCCACAAAATAAACAAAGGGGCTGGTGACATGATTCAGTGGATAAGGTATTTGACAAACAATCATGAGGACTGGATCAGTAGTGTAGTTTATCTCAGTGTAAGACACACTCAGAGCACACCACTTTCTCTAAATGACCTTTAAAAGGGAAATTATAGATCTGCTGACATGGCTCAGCAGCTCAGGCATTTGTCACAAGCCGGATGACCTGAGTTTGGTTTCTAGGACCAAATAAGGAAAGACAGAACCAACTCCCACAAGTTATCTTCTGAGTACATGCCCCTAACACACACATAAACAAATGTAATGATAAAACACATTCTTAAAGAGGAAAGGTTACTTGGAAGTCATTTTATTGATTAGTGGGGTAAGACCATTCCAAGACTAAATGCAGTTGTAAAATCCATACACCTAAGTCCAAAAGAGGAGAAAGAACTGTTACTTGTATGGTTTGGTGCATGGAACCCATTCTGATATGCTGGCCTACGGCATGTTGGCAACCTGCTTAGACTTTAGGCTGAATCTATTACTGGAATAAATGGGAGTTGAGAAAGCATATTCAGAAAATTTATCTTCTTCTTGGCTTCCTAGAGACCAAGAATTGGATTGAGTTATTCTAATGTCAGTTAATTCAAGAAGCCAGTCTCCAGGCATTTATTGAACATGCGTTATGTGTGCCAAGCTACCCTGTAACGACTGTAAAAAGGTTGAAAAACGGGTAAGGATAGCCTCTAGGCCTCAGCCCCATTCCCATGGCCTTATTTTCTTTCTTTTATTTTTGCTTTGTTTTTTTCAAAAGACTCACTATGTATCTCTGGCTGTCTTGAAACTCACTAGTAAACTAGGCTGGTCTCAAACTCACAGAGATCTACCTGCCTCTGCCTCTGCTCTGCCTCCCAAGGGATGGTATTAAAGGTGTGTGCCACTATGCCCAGCTTCCTGGCCTGATTCATTTTAATGAATGGATCTTTTGTTTTCGAAAGTGCAGGTCATATATGAGATGCCTAAGATTCAGAAGGTGAGGGCTGGAGAGATGGCTCAGGGGTTTAGAGCACTTGATTGTTCTTCTAGAGGATCCAGGCTCAATTCCCAGCCACCCTGGTGGCAGCTCACACCTGTCTGTAACTCCAGCTTCAAGGGACCTAACACCCTTGGCAAAATATTAATACATGTAGAACTTTTTTAAAAAAAAGATACATTAGGTGATTTCCAAATAATCACATCCTAGTGAGAAAGCAAGGTCCCTCTCCAACCCAGAAAACATCACATTCAGGGTTGATATGCCATTGCCAGATGCCAACACTTCATTTTAAATCAGAAAATAAACTTGTGTGGGACCAGTGGGTCAGGAAAACCACTCATAACAAAATGGTGCCATAACATGGACCCGAGAACTTTCACTTAAGGGGTTTTAGAAACAAAAAGAACAGAGAGAAGCAAGGCTTCTTGGTAGCAGCATTTTTCTCGGTTGGGTTCTGTTTTGCTAGAGACAAGCAGAGATTTGCGCAGCTCTTTT